GAAGAAAAAACAGTAAATAGACAATGGATCAAAAAAAATATATATATATAGCATATAAACAAATATGTATATATATAAATTAAATTCCTCAAAAATTGACAAAAAAAATCCAAAAATTAAATTCCTCTCAGCTCATGTCTGTAGCTCCAAGCCTGCCTCACAAACCCAATTCCAACACAAATTCAGTTCAATTGAAATATAAAACAAACCATAAACTATTTATAGTGATTAGCTTGTCCGTGAAACACTGGTGGAACCTTGTCTTCAACTTTTTCTATAAATGTTGTTTAAATCTATGGGACTTTTTATGAAGAAATTAAGTCCGTTACAATTAAAATTTAAATATATGTTAGAATATTTTAAATCAAATAAAGAAATTAAGACTTTTTCCCTGTTTAAAGTCGGAGTTATTTTAATTGAAATATCTTTGCTAAAATAATCAGTTGTCCGAGTGATATGTTAACATTGTGTAATATTAAAACAAAAATGCACTTTGACCGTTGCACTACAAACAGCTTTACTATCTATTTGAAACAACCAACAAAATATTTATGATTTGCCCTTTGCAACATGCCGCATTTGTTGAAATTGGTCATATTTAGAAAATAGATGTTTATAAAAAAATAATGTTCATGTAGGACATTAAATATTATGAAGTGTTTCAATGGTTTTCTGGATGATGAAAAAAATGATGTCCTTTTTAGTGTATTTTTGAAATATTTCTGTACTATTACATTCTGCCTGCACTATTGATATATTGTTTTGATTTTCATTAAATAAATATTATTTATTTGAATTAGACAAAATTAAATGGTGTACTATCTGTAGGAATTTCATCTTCAGAAGCACTTTATATGTCAAATTTATAAGTGAATAAGATAAGTGACCCTACCTCCAAATTCCATTAATCTAAAACAAATCTAGATATCTTGTTTGTTATAAAAACTTGAGATGTTTTTGGTTAGTTGCTGTTGAACATTACTGTATTTAGCCGATTGCGAATGATGTTTTTAAAATTAAAAATTGAACGATGTTTTTGTTTATGGTAATTTATCATGCGGATGCGGAAATATTATTGTTGGGCAAAGTTGAAGTTTGGTTTCACAACACTTGAAATCTAATCTTTTCTTGTGCGTAAATGTTAGAAAACAATTGGATCAAAAGTCATAATACTTCTGATTGAGGTGAGCGATAATGGAAAAGAGGATGCACTTGATTTCAAGTGGGCGAAACGATAATTTTGTGTAAAATGACAAGCACTATTTCGTGATTCACAGATCAAAATCTAATCCGGCGTTTCCTGATTATAAAAACTTGTTGGTGTCTTGGGAAAAAAGTGTGAAGGGAAATGATTAAATTGAATTTAATAGGCACAAAGCAATGTAGTAACAAAAATGCTAATTTGTTATAATCATTTGTCCTTGTGAATAAACACAGCACATAGCAGTTTGTAATTTGTTTCTAATTTGCATGATCATCGCAAATCTTCATGGCAGGGATATCGAAAATCAATGTCATTAGAAAATGTTTGAACTTTAACCTTGGCTCAAACTTTTTTTACCGGTTTACACATTTTTGCATCCTTGATTCTGATATTTATTTTTTATAATCAGTCAAATACTAAATTGCTAATAGAGAAAATAATAAGGATATAAAAAGGGATAAAAAACAGTTTAGACGCTCATCACTGTGAAGTAAAGGTCCCAGGTTCGAATCCAGCAGCCCTGCATTCAAACTCGATATACTTACAAATGGGATTTTTTTTTCAAAAACAATCATACCCCAAAGGTTGATATGTCTCTACTGTTGTGCATCCTCATAATTTAAAAAAAAATATATATAAAAAAAAATAACGATGAAATATCAACTTTATTTGAAGCACCTGAAATTGAATAATTTAAGTACTATTCGAATCAATATCAGAATTAATCAGGCAAAATTGTAAGGCTTCCTTTTATTACGCTTTTAGTTGGAATAAAAAAAGAAAAGACATGCTATTCTGGGTTTTTGCTGACTCACTATGTCACTAGTGTGACTCGTGACTGCCTTATGACTCATAGTTTTTCTGTTATATATTCTGAACTTATTTGAATGTAGATTGAATTCACAAATATATTTCATTGTTTAATGAACTACTTAGTAATGGATTAAATTAATCGCACATTTGGTAACAAATTAAGGGAAAATAGTTATCTATGGGTACAAATCATATAAATGTACTCTGTTGAGGTGACATAAGAATATTGATTGTTGGATCAATTTCCTTACATTTATTATGCTTGTTAATTTTGCTTTTGCTTTTTAAGCCAGAATGTAGAGTATAAGCTTTTCTTCACTATTTACCTGTTTTTCAGCTTTGTTGATTAAATAAAAATAAAAAAAACTTAGAAATTATTTGAGGTGGGTATGTTCAATTCACATTTTGGAAAAGATAGTTATTACTCACAGACTGTTTTAAGCAGCTACTCAGATTTCGAGTATTAAATTTTAGCAACTTTCCGGATTTTGAACATTAAATAAATGCTCATTATCAGGTTGAAGAAATTACAAATACGTCTCTCGATTTGAATTGTTAGGTGTGTTTATATCTTCAGCCGATGAGTGGAACCATCTTTTCCAAAAAGTGAAAAAATATGTTAGTTTATAAACATTGGGTTTACAATAAACACTTTACTACTACTATTAAAAGTAATAGTAATAATAGACATGTTTTAATGCCTATCATTGGCTTGTAATTTTTCATAGATTTTTTTAGCATTGCCAGAATAAATGTAGAATAATAGATTGGCACATGAATTATATTTTTGCTTAAGAAACCAACAAATTGCTTAAGGGAATCCTTTAGTAAAATTTGAAACGTCTACTTTTTCTCAGCAAAGCAAATGCTAATCCATTGAAGGATTTTTTTAAAATTTCCAAATTTCCACAGTACTCTCCTCTCATCCCAATCAAATTGCCCAATCCTTATAGAAACCATCCTTATAATTCCACCAGACAACTGAAGAGGAGCTTCGCGTCCTTCTAAACAATGATTAGTCTTTGCGTAGTTGGGAGAACGACAATAGTCGACTCCTCTCATGACAGATGAGCTTTGTAAATCCAGCTCATTACATAATGTAAATAAGTTAACATATTGAATAAATAAAATGAACTGTTGAGATCTAGTAGTAATTGTTTTAAGAGTCTGTTTTACACAAGGTTTAATATGCCACAAGTTATATATGCTAATTAACGAGTGTAGACATAGTGCCAACAAGCTAGAGCTATGTTACTAAGAAAAAAATAATACAAAAAAATTGTTAAAATTGGCCATCATTTACAATGGTTGTACCTATCACCTCTGGTATATAGATATAAAAACTTTTATAAGCGTGAAAATAATGTACTTATAATTAAAACTAATGCAAAATTAATAAATTTACCAGTGGTTGGTGTCAAAAGTGAATTAGGAATAATAGAAAGAAGAAAAATTTACTCTTCAAAATATGAAAATATATCAAATTTTCATTTTAGAGATCAAAGAGAGTCAGAGTAGATTAGATTATAGTCAGAGGCAGCCTCTTTAATAGCATTGGTCTATTGTGCACCCACATTGTTGTCTAGAGCTTCTCATTAAGCTTAAATATTTTTACAAGATCCTAAGCTTCTTCAAGAACTCTTTCAGGCCCAGAATTTTCCTCTTCTGGGAGTAGAAAAATACCTATGTCTTTGCACAAACACAGATCATGTTCTGCAGTCTCTTCTTCTTTCTGGCAATATCTGCTCAGCTTTTTTCTACTGTACATATACTTACAGAGTTTTCAGTGTCCAGTTAGCTGTCCAGTTATTATTCTAGCCCTAGCTCGTTAGTAGTGTTGCTGTAAGTTTCTTCGATGGCCTTTGGAAAACTTTTTCGCATGCCTCTATCCTCATTGAACAGAGGACTTACTTTTAATACATTGCCTGATAGGTCTATATATTTGGCATTGGTATTCCACAAAAGGGTTAAGGCCAATAGAGGTCGAACTTACTTTGGCCAATTTATCGATCTCTTCATTGCCCCTCTACCTTGTAAACCCTGGTACCCAGACAAGGGTAATTTTTTTGTTTTTCCAATATCTGTCAGGGCCCTAATGCAATCCCAAACAACTTTGGACTTTACGATTACAAATGCCTTGAACTTGAAAAGTAATACCTCACAAAAAAAAAAAAAAAAAAAAAAAAAAAAACCGAGACCCTTATACATTCATTTTGGGGATCAAAGAGAGTTGGAGCATGCAGCTTGTAATAAATGCCTTCATACTTTTTCCAATGCATCAAAATGCTGATAACCCTATACACAAGAGGAGAATTAATGCTTGCAAAATTGCATGTGGCCAAGTTTTGGTTAAAACTATTTTTAACAAGTTTGAAGGTTAACCAATACTGAAATTGTATTCTTGCCAGGGAAAGGATTTTAAGAAAATTTTCAATGCAATGACAATTAGAAACTCCTTTATGGCTAATTGCTTGCAATTAATGCTAATTATAAATTTGGATGTACAATAATAAGATGTTTCGAAACCTTTGTTTTTACAAACTGCCTGTGATTAAACTGTCTTTCATTTATCTCAGCTTTTGTTCTCTTTTATGTCTTAGAAGATTAGTTATTTATGTTTGAAGTTATTATCTTAGTTTTGCTTTTTATTATGTTAGTTATATTCCCTTAGCTTCGCTTATCTCTGTAAGGGATTTTTTTAAAAGATCTGTGCTATCCTTGTGAATATAATATACATATGACTCGATTCAAGTAAGGATATTTTCCATTATTTGTTAATGTTCTGTTGCTGATGTAATTTCAATTATCTTGGGTTTCCATTAGTCTTTTTATGACTGAAAAAACATTATAAAAAGTGAAACTTGAGAAGTATTTTGTAGGCAAGCTACATTTGGAAAAGGTGAACACTTCCATAAAATAGTTACTATAAACAAAATCAGCCGTTAGCTTATTTATTTTATTTATTTATTTATTTTTTTTTCAGGAAGCGAATAGTGAATTTCAGGCTTGTGTTAAATCTTTGGTCAATGTTGAGGTGATGATGAAAGAAATAAAGGAAGCGAAACCAACTGGTGATCTCGATTCAGTATTCAGGAAATATTGCCAGTCAGTAGGAACCGAAATTATTTTAATATGCATCAAATTCAACTCAAAACTTCGCTTTTTCAGAAAAACACCCACATTGCGAGAGTGCATTTCTAATTTTACGGACGCAATGGCACCTTGTTTGGACCCGAACGAAATCGCTGGAAAAAACATCGCTTTGAACCTGAGTGATTCTCTGATGAAATTCATCTGCCACAATGATGGCGACAGGATAGCATGTAAGTATTGAAATAGACATTTCTTATAAAAACGGTTTCAATATAAATCTTGTTTTAGTGTTTATCGCTGAAGGAGGGCAAGAGTGTCTTGAAAGCAATGTAAAATACGTTCAATCTTGTTGGAACGAATCGTTTGTTGGCACTGACCTTAATACAACCAACCCAAATAGTATCGACCTGCTTTTAGATGAAGAAAAATGCAGGTATGGCCCTTGAAAAATTTATTTAAAAAATATTTTTTTATTATTCTTAATTTATAATTTTCTTCCCAGTAAAATGAACCAAGTGCAAAACTGTATTGTGAAACATTTGGAAAAATGCAGTGAGCCAACTCCCGCCAATGTCATCAATAGTATGTTTGAGTTTGTTAAGAAGAAGTCACCTTGCTACCAGTACGACACAGATAGCTCCTCATTAGTCACTTCATCTGTACATTATATTGTTTTCTTTGTGTTTGTATCTTATTTGTTTAATTAAAATCAAAATTTGTCAAATTTTTTGTTGCAAAATTTATCCATTTGAGGATAAAAATTGCTATAAATTAATGGTAAATATGTCTATATGTGTATATTAATATAAAAAAGCGCATTTGTACCATGTTTCAACCTCACCATAAGATTTTTAAAAAAGAACTTAAAAAATGTATTTATTATATATGTTGAGTTATTTTTTTTATATAGTAAATAATAAATGTTTATAAAGTAGTTAAACTATTGAAATAATCCTCTTCCTCTTTTAGCATAAGTCTATACAGTTAAGTAAAATCCAAATTTTTATGCATGATGAGGCCTTAAAATCCTTATGTGCTAAGGCTTATTTCATTTGCCATAATAATAATTATTACATTTGAATCATTAAAAATTACATAGGGTTGGAAATGTTTGTATTGCTGAAATTTATTTTTTTAATTTAACGAGGGTTCGCAACAGCATAGGAGGTTATAGGAGGCTTCCAGCCAACATTTGAATTTGATAATGGTTTTTAGGGTAAACATGCTGATTTTTTTTTTTTTTTTTTTTAATCCAATGAACGACAAATACCAGCGATCAAAAAATCATCACAGCAAAACAAATTGAATCAATTACCATAAGATAATAATTAATAATAATTATTATTATAACGTGTTACACTTTATATTATTATTATAACATATTATTATATTATACATTATATTATAACATGTTATTATTATACCGTGTTACATTCCTTAAAAAACATTTCTGGTAAATCTTTACGAATTTTTTTCTATTCATCAAGAACAGCCATTTCCAATTCTTCTAGGGTGTTAGGACGTAGGTTTCACCGTCGTACTCGTCGCTTAAGTTAGTCCCAAATGTGTTTGATTAGGTTTTAAAGTGAACTTCAAGCCGACTACATAATCACCCAATTCCAAACTGATTCAGATATTCTACCACAATATAATACAGGGTGGCCCCAATCGATTCAGCCACACTTCCAGATCTTATAGGAAATTGAACGCTGAGTAAAAAAGGTCCTTTGAACCTGTGTCCGCAAACCCTTCAGTTCCGAGCTACAGGAAAAAAACCATGAAAAACCACGTTTTTTNTTCAGCATAGGAGGTTATAGGAGGCTTCCAGCCAACTTTTTTTTTTTTTTTTTTTTTTTAGTTTTTTTTTTTTTTTTTTTTTTTTTTTTTTTTTTTTTTTTTTGGGTGACAAATATCATCGGTCAAAAAATCATCTCAGCAATACAAATTGAATCAATTACCATAAGATAATAATTAATAATAATTATTATTATAACGTGTTACACTTTATATTATTATTATAACATATTATTATATTATACATTATATTATAACATGTTATTATTATACCGTGTTACATTCCTTAAAAAACATTTCTGGTAAATCTTTACGAATTTTTTTCTATTCATCAAGAACAGCCATTTCCAATTCTTCTAGGGTGTTAGGACGTAGGTTTCACCGTCGTACTCGTCGCTTAAGTTAGTCCCAAATGTGTTTGATTAGGGTTTAAAGTGAACTTCAAGCCGACTACATAATCACCCAATTCCAAACTGATTCAGATATTCTACCACAATATAATACAGGGTGGCCCCAATCGATTCAGCCACACTTCCAGATCTTATAGGAAATTGAACGCTGAGTAAAAAAGGTCCTTTGAACCTGTGTCCGCAAACCCTTCAGTTCCGAGCTACAGGAAAAAAACCATGAAAAACCACGTTTTTTATCTTATTCGTAAAATTGTTAGTAAACCGTTAGCCTGACCATAAAACAGCTCGAACCAACATCTGTAGAGGATTAATTTCTGTGTCGAATGAGATTAAAACCAGCCTGATCGGCCGAAAATTTCATTTTTGGCGATTTTTCAAAGTTAGGAGGTGAAGGGGTTCACAAAATTCACCATTTCTGACATTTTTATCAAAAATTCACAACTTGAACACCCTATCAAAAAATTCACCGTTGCAAAAATTAATCTGCAGAAATTAATCCTCTACAGATGCTGTTTTGTGGTCAGGCTAACGGTTTGCTAACAATTTCACGAATAAGGTCAAAAAATGTGGTTTTTCATTGTTTTTTGCCTGTAGCTCGGAACTGAAGGGTTTGCGGACACAGGTTCATAGGACCTTTTTCACTCAGCGTTCTATTTCCTGTAAGATCTGGAAGTGTCGATTGGGGCCACCCTGTATACTCTACGGGACCTGGCATTATCTTGCATCACTAACGTGAGGGGCAAATGACATGTTCGTTCTTCAATTAGTCTTGTAAGTACTATGAAGTTAGAGATCTTCATCACACAACAACCAATACTATGCGGGCATCCAGGAAATGCCCCCCACACGTTCCCATATGAATTGAAACCTGGATATTTTTTTTAAGTGTGGTAAGAAGAGGTCCACGAGGCACGTATTGGGTTATTTTGTCTCTGAGGTTATTTTTAATGAGCTTTTTTCTTCAGTCCTGGAGTAAATTGAAACATAACGAACTTGTCTTTTTAAACCTCATTTCCCGTAATGCTGCTGTTTCATAGAGCCTGATGACAGATGAATCTATCGTCTCCCCCATCCATAGACAAGGTTCGACCCTGTCCTGGCCTTCTAGTATGAAGCTTTTTCTCTGAAGTGCTGAAGAACCCTTCCTATTTTAGCATGATTTACACTGTCTCCTGGTGACTGCGCTGGGTTTAATAATGTTATGCTTCTGACACTGTCATACTCAAATCAATGCAAATTAAGAATAAGTATAATATCAAATGAAATCAACGAAGGGCAAAGATAAACTGAAAGTGGTTGTTAGGTATAGCAGAACGGTAAGGCATAATTCCTCTTTTTGAGCAAATAAGATTAATCAGTACAAACGTAAACAAAGCATTTTTTAATGATTATTTGGACTAGGATAATTTCTAATATAGAAAGATATTGGATTTAATTTTAAACTAAATAAATTAAGTGATACATTAAATTTGTCCAACAGTGTATATTTTTAAAAAATAAATAAAGTAAATATTGCAAGTCCTCTTGCATAGAGATTCTTCAGTTTGCAGAGTTACAGGTTAATTGTACATACGACAAAACCAAAATTTTTAATTTAAAAATGCCCTTAGTTCATTATCTCTTAAAAGCGTGAGTGTCAATAGTTTTGATATTTGGATTATAGATAGTTGGTGGGTTTTGGTCTGCAAGTCTGTGAATTCTTGAACTGCTGGTACTGAATCACTTATTGGGCCCGTCTTTATTTGTAGGTTTGTTGAACTACTCAAACACATTAAGTCATTGCTCCATCTCCAGGGTTTGTTTTCTTGTATTGCATAAGGGGAAAGGGTTATTTATCAACTAAACCTTATCAAACACTGCTCTGCCTCCTTTGCTTACCAAATGCTGCACTTTACATTTTTCCCTTAACTTATCTGTTATGTAAATATATTGAGTTGCACTTTATCTAAACTGCACTTGTAAACTACCAGGAAATGAATAATCTCAGTCTCAGTATAGCCTGGTTGAAAAATTTCAATCGTTACTACCAAGCTTTCCTATTTTAAAGACATCACCAGGACAAAAACAACTTAAAAATGTGTACAAATTGACATAATTTTACATACAACTCAGCCACATTTCCAAGGACTGTAAGAAATAAAGACTGTGTAAGGCATTACAATCTTTAAAAAAATCACTTTCAAGATTCCCAAATTTATGCAACTCCTTGGTTCCAATATCTTATCCTTAGTTATTCAGTAATTAATCAGTTTGCATAAATCAATTGAAATTTTCCAAAAGATAAGTTATTTTGATGGTCATAATGAAATATCCTCACTACATAATAAATTTAAAAAAGGAAAAAAGTACAGAAACTTAATCTCTTGAGTAAAGAACGTATGAATGTATAAATTTTTTGCAACTGACTAAAGTTCTGAAATTACTGATATTAATTCTATTTTCATATTTAAGTACCCTGTGACAAGAAAAATTATAAGAAAATTATTAGTTGTATTTGTTTTTGGTAAATCATGGTAACAGTTTCATCTTTTGTGATATAAGTTTAATGATTAATAAGATGACTAACAATGATAAACATATGAAGAACATTTTTAAAATAATTGTTTTAAATTAAAAACTCAAAATGCCTTGCATAATAACTTTGTGTTGTATATTTGTGTTTGTTTAAAACTATTTTTATTAGAAAATTTTGAGTGACTTAGACAATATATTCTTACTAGTTCCTTCCCACATCTTAATCCCATAACAATATGGATTATGTTAAGGTGAAATAAACTGATTTTAGCAACAGGTAAATTGCTTCTAAGAATTCAATTTGTAAACGGTTTCCTGATTCTCTTAACCATGTTTTGATTTGAAAATTAAAGTTGAAACGTAATTTTTTTTTTCCTTGCAGGAACAATTTAAACTGTTTCTGCACGAATGTAAAATAATTTTCTGTTTGTTTAAATCTTATGTTTTTTTAGTGAAAACTAAACTGCTCAAAAATGAATTTGTAATTAATTGTATTTGTAATTTATTCTTATTCCATTAATTTTAGTTAAATTAATCGATATATTCTTGTTAGTTGGATAAAACAAAATAGGAAATACAAACCAAAAACAAGCAAATGTTAATCCTCATTTTTAATAATGGATTTACTTAAGAATAGTAAGCAAGAAGATTACTCATTTTGTAAAAACAAAACAACAAAAAATCACTTTCTTCATATTTTCTCCATTTTAATCAAGTTGTATTGTCTTTAACCATAGAAAGACATAATCTTGAACTAGAAGTTCACAATAATATTGTGAGAATGAGTCATCGAGGTCACTGGCAAGTGGATATCGCATAGGCAGTTGGCATATCTCAGAGTGAGGTCTACCGGGCTTTAGCCTGATTCCGAGAGACTGGAAGTGCCAAAGGAGGCCGGGTAGTGGATTTCAATGAATGGCGACGATGAGGAGGACAGAAATATTGTCATTGATGCAAGACGGAACCCTTTCCATAGTGCCCGCCAGATCCTGAATGAAGTACAAGATGTTTTGGCAAGGCCTTTATCAACATAAACAATTTGTAATTGTTTGTGGAAAGTTGGTCTCACA